CCTCCTCCCCTCCCTTTCCCAGCTCGGCATAACCAAAATCTGGATTCCCCCCGCCTGCAAAGCAGCCGACGCGAAAAACGGAAACGGGTATGACATCTACGACCTGTGGGACCTAGGCGAGTTTGAACAGAAGGGCTCCACCCCGACAAAATGGGGGTCAAAAGCGCAACTGGAGGAGCTTTGTAGAGTGGCGGAGGGGAGGGGGGTGAAAGTTTTGTTTGATGCCGTGCTGAATCACAAAACTGGAGCGGACTACAAAGAGAGGGTCAAGGCGAAGAAGGTTGACCCCTTGGACCGGAATAGGGAACTAGATGGGGGGGAGGTGAGGGAGATTGAGAGTTGGACGGGGTTTACGTTCCCGGGGCGGGGGGGGAGGTACAGTGGTCGAGAATGGGACAGGAGACATTTTACGGGGGTGGATTGGGATGACTTGACTAGGGAAAAGGGGGTTTGGAAGCTGGGGGGGAAGGAGTGGTGTGTGGATGTGGATGAGGAGGTGGGGAATTATGACTTTTTGTGAGTTCACCATGGGCATTTGGGAAGGTAAGGGAGTGCTGATGAAGTGAACAACAGAATGTTTGCCGATGTTGACCACCGACATCCGGACGTGCAGCAGGATGCTTTTGATTGGGTAAAGTGGCTGCCGACGCAGCTCAAGATTGGAGGGTTGAGGTTGGATGCGATTAAGCATTATAGCTTCCAGTTTCAGAAGAGACTGCTGAGGCACATTGACGATAATGTTGAGAAGGGAAAGGACTGGTTTATTGTTGGGGAGTACTGGAGAGAGGACTCTGAGTTCTTGGCCAAGTATATTGAGTATATGGACCACCGGATTTCGCTGTTCGATGTGCCGTTGTGCTCTAATTTGAGCAAGATATCTATGGCTGGGGAGAGAGGCGACCTAAGGGACCTGTTCAAGGATGCTTTGTGTTTGTGGAAGCCTAATAACGTTGTGGTAAGCCCCTTAAACCTTCTGACAAGTGACAAAGTTTAGCTTTCGACTAACGTGTATTGCATCAGACATTCGTTGTTAATCACGACACACAACAAGGCCAGTCCCTTGAGGTACGCTCCCGTGACATATCACGTCTTCCATAACGTTGACTAATCGTCAGCATCACAGACTCCCGTAGCCCCCTGGTTTCTACCCCACGCCTATACCCTCATCCTCCTCCGCGCCAACACCGGCGTGCCCTGCGTATTTTGGTCTGACCTCTACGGCTCCTTCGCCTCCGGTCCCTCTTCTTTCATCCCTCCCATGTCCGGGAATCCCACCCTCCTCGCTCGCCTCATCCTCATCCGCAAGCTCTACGCCTATGGCACCCAGCATGATCTCTTTTCCCACCAACACTGTGTCGGTTTCACTCGTGAGGGTCACTCCGCCCACGGTGGGGGTGCTGGGCTAGCGGCGGTGATGGGTAATCAGTGGGGCCTGTCAAAGCTGAGAATGTACGTTGGGAAACACCACAGTGGGGAGAAATGGATCGATTTCTTGAGACTGTGTCCCGGGGAGGTCATGATTGATGATGAGGGTTGGGGGGAGTTTCCTGTGTCGGGCAACAGGGGTTGCTCGGTTTGGGTCAGTGAGACAGCAGAAGGGAAGGATGAGGTTATCAACCTCAAATTGTAAGTCGGAGCCTTGATGCTCGTGGTTCCCTGGCACCCAGCGCTGACCATGATAGTAATTCGGATATCTATGGCATCGAGGCCGAGATGAACAGGCGACAATCCATGTTCGAGAGAAGACAGTATGAAATCGAGAGCATGAGCCGGAGAGCCCTTGCAAGCAATCTTCCAACCGTTTAAATCTAGATATGTAGCCTGATAACCGAAATAAATATCACGTTATTCGAAAGTCAATACACTCCTCCTCATGAAACGCTTCCCCATCCATGACTCCGTGGACGTATGCTTCGCCAATGAACTGCATTGATCCATCTTCTCTCGGACGGAGGATCATTGGCACCCTGCCGCCTCGAAGCAGAGCCACTTTGTCCCCAACCTCGGTGAGCTTAGGCAGGAGACAAACCCGTTTTGACGCGGTAATCCCAAGTCGCCTGCGGGGCGTATGCGTTGTATATGTCGCAAAAGCCTCAGGCAGGTCGTCATCTTCCATTTTGACAAAGGTGGTGACCGCAGCCAATGTGGTGTACGTCTTTGGTGCATATCGATCAATCCTCTTCTTCAGCTTTCGAATCGAGTACACCGCCTGGAGCCATCCGTCAAAGCGGCTATCGAATACCGATGGTTCCAGCGGACAAGGCGTTGCTGTCGTGATAGTATCTCGGAAAATGGCGCGGCGGTCTTCATGCGGCTCGCCCAGCTCTGCAGCAACAAACTCATCCCACTGCAGAAACGTTTCCCTCATTTCCACAACATTCCCAAAGATCTCGAGAAATGCCTTGGCGACATATGGCACAGCCATTCTCATTCCTTTCCACCATGCAGATATAAAATGCCGGATGGGTCTTTCGGGATCCAAATCTTCCCACCGGTCGGGAAAGCTGTCGGCTTCAGCGATCATCGCAGGATCGTTTAGCATGTGGTCCAGGGACCCTTCGTTGCGGTCGTCCTGATTTGGTGGTACCTGCGTCCTCCCGAGTTTGGCGATCGTGTCGATGATGTGACCGTCGAGAAGCAAGGTTTTGTCGTTGTTCTCCCATCGGGGGTTGGATCTTAGTCCTCTAGAAGCGTGAGTAGTTCGCGGTTGGCCTTTTGCGTCGTTCATCAGCGGGAGCGCGAGGTTTCCAACGGAGCCCCAATCAGGAATCCAGGACGGGAGATTGGTGACTCTCGGTATCTTGTATGGGTAGCAGAACCCAAGAGCATCGAGATTGCCAGATTGTTGTAACAAGGATTTCGTCGCTTGGCGGTACACATCCTCGGCATCCAACCGATAGTCAACCTCAATACCCACATCACGGCCTTCGCTGAATAGACCCATCAATCCAAAGATCTTGTCCTGAGGCATCTTGCAATCACGCCAGTGGGACGAGGCGAGATAGTGGAGGAGCTCGTCCCCGACATCTTCAGTAACGAGCTCCGACCCGGGCTGTCTCGCCTCTCTGATAGCGTTGACCAGGTTGAGCGGCTCAACACCAGAGTTGGTCTTGCTCCCGGCATATATCTCGGAAAAGTCGCCAAAGCCCAATGCTGTATAGTAAGGAATGGCAACACAGAGAAGATCCCAGCCCAGCTCGTGTCTTTCCATGCACAAGCGCGCCTCCTTTGCAAGTACAATCTCCTGCAGCGTCCAAATACGAGTCCACCACGGATTCTCCAAAAAGATGACGTTCCATTTGGGCTTCAGCTTTTTAATACGGTCGTACGTCGTCCCATCTTCATCCTTTTCTCCCTGCTTTGGAACAACCTCACGGCCCTCCTCTGCGAGCTTCCGCGCCTCGTTGCCCAGGATCTCGATGGCTTTAAAAAGAGGATCAATCCCCGCTAAGTGATCAAGCCATTTCCCTTCAGAATAGGTAAGCCGGTCCGTATTCAGGGCCCCCAGTAAGCAGCATGGACAGCCTAGCCAGACAAGAGTGCGGGCCGCCTTGGTGTAGATGTCGCCCATCAGCATGACTTGGCTGTTGCGCTCATCCATGTCTTCTTGGTTGATGCATACTGCGTCCACCCACAAAATACGGGACTTTTCCTGATATCTCAGGTGGAGAAGAGCGCTGCGGAGGTTTCTGCCAATCTGTACGGTGGCGCCGTCGATTTGGATTGGCGTTGTCTCGGTGATGTCGCCCCAAACGTAGGAGAGGGCTTCGAAGCCTTCATCGTCATCGTCGTCTGTCCATGGGTTGTTCAGGTCCAATTCGATGAGCTGACATTCGATGTCAGCGTCGGCTCTCCCAGGAAGCAAGGTCAGAACCCGGATGGCTGACTTGGTCGTTGACGGGAGCGGAGTGTATTTGTATGGAGAGGTGGTGGATTTGTTGGTGTAACAGTATGCTTCTGGCTTAGGCGTATCCTCCGTCACGGGGTCGCTATGGTTGGAAGTCTGATCTTTAGTCGATGTTTGTGTCGGTGCTGATGGCCCAGTTTCGGTTTGGCTGGTCTGAGTGGTGGTCGACTTTGGCACCGAATCATGTTCGTTGGCCCAGTCTTCGAAACGCTTCCATCCGCTATGTAATTTTTTGAACATGATTGAGTTACCTCTTGAGTCGCCGCTGCCTGTTTGACCATCAGTGCGGGGAAGTCTGCAAGTCTCTGCTGGCGGCTTCTTTCCTGAAGGAAGTCCAAATTGTGCTGCCAAGCAGGGACCGCCAAGGAATCCCTTGGCCAATGACATTTCACCTTTTCATGCACAGCCCTCCTGCTGACATTTTCCCCTCTCAAAGAAAGTGATTTTAATTTCAATTGACAAGATACCACTGGCAGTCAACCGCGAGCAGCACCATATCGACATATATCTACCACCATGTCGGCAATCCCACCATCCTAACCCTTCGATTATTCCCGAGCGACGACGACGACGCTCCTTTGGAAGCGGAGCTGACCAAATTGTCTCTTGCAACTCTTCCCCATTGAATACTTTCATATGGATGGGGAGACTGCAGAAAGCCCTTCACGATCACTATCAACGGCTCATCTCTTCCGATCCCCATTGCCAGGTCGTGGACGTTCCGTGCCTCCGATCCCTCCCCGTTTTAACAAACATTGTTTCCCATTTCATCAATGTATTGAAAATGACCACCAAACTCAAATTGACTGCTCGCTCGCACCAAGCCCACCACACTGCAATATTGAGCAGCTGACATCCCAACAAGGCAACATATCAGATGTCGGTGTTGGCAACCCAGTTGAGCACCACCACTCAACCCCCAACACATGACCGATATCCCCGACATGATCAAACAAACAAGCGGCACAGCAAGCAACAAACCACCACCCCCTTACGGTCAGCCCAGGCACACGACCCGAGAGGTCGGAAACGAAAAGATGAATGGTCGCACTGCAGCTCGCGTAGCCCCTCCCTCCCCACCTATCCGCAGTCTTGGTCAGAATTTGTCACGTTTTGCCGGGCGGCGCTGCATGTCTACCTATCTAGCTACCGTAACACATTCCTGTTCTAGATTGGATTCAACTTCCGATTCTCTATGCCTGTTGTTACACTGTGATGGATGATATTTTTGTGGCGGCGTTATCTGTGGAACCAAAAGGACATCCTACCCACAGGGTAGGCCGGGTGGTATATATCTATCTCTACAGTGTTAGTCTACATTGACACAAAAACTAAACGCCCGAGTACCCCCTCGCGTATGTCAAGACCCTAGTTTTGTCTGGGGCCCGGAAAACACATCCGCACGCGTGAATCCTGGGTAGGTCGTCATGCTCCGCAATTAGGGCTCATCTCACCTTCAACGGTCACCAGCGGCGTAGACAAATGATAAGATCGTTGCATCCGCTGATTCCGAACAACATCATTTCCCGTGGTGATTGTTCTCATTTATTTCACTACCGGAATGTGATCCGAGGAGTCTACTCAGTGTGTCAACCTGCGAGGCGCAAACAACACCGCCATCAACGCACCTTTTGGAGAGTGTCGTACTGCTGCGTTACCACAGTATTCAAAGCGACTTCAGAACAATCACATTCTTGACCCATTCAACCAAGTAAAGCAAAAAAAAAAAAAAAAAAAAAAAAAAACCGTTGAATCAGGGGTATTATGATGTGCAAAAAAAAAAAACACAACCACAACAAGAACTCAGCCAAATTGACCTCACTGCAAACTCCACCTCCTCACCTCCCCCACCCTCCACTTCCACATCTCCCCCGCCAGCATCTCCTGCTGCGTAGCCACAAACTCCTGCACATGGCCCAGCATAGCCTGCACAAACTTCCTATGCCCCTTCCCCCCCGACATCATATTCTCGACACTGTGCTCCATCTCCTTGATCTTGCCCAACAGCCCCGGCGTGGTCGGTCTGTTAGGGTTCACAGTCTTCAACTGACTCACCGCGCTGGCCCCATTCGCAGGCCTCTTCTCCTTGAGAATCGCCCCTTCAATTTCCCGTAACATGCTGTAGATACTGGGGTGTAAGAAACTGCTCGCCTCGAGCTTCATGTTTTGGAGCTCGAGGTCCTTGTAGATGCGCTTGACGCTGGTTTTGTTGGTGTTCTTCTGGCGTTCGAGATAGTCCCGCATGTGAGTGAGGACCTTTTCCTTTTCTATCCTCCGTTGGGCTGGTAAGGGTGTTAGTTGCGGCGACGTGGAGGAAGGGATGAAGAGAGGAATACCATCTAGCCCGCGCGGCCCATGTGCTTGTAGACATCCCACTGGTGTCGCGAGGACAGCTTGTGTTTGCCCTGTCCAGTCCCATATCACAGTCCTAATCTCTCGCTTGAATGCCTCCTCCCATTCCAACACAAGGGCAATGTTTGCCAGCTGGAGCGAGGTCAATCGAGAGCGGGATCCCGGCTCTGTTTGCCAGGAGAATTTGGGACTGGATGAGGACGAGGAGAGACTCGCATAAGATCGTCGAGCTGCTTTGCGAACGACGGCTCTGGACGCAGCTAGTTGGCCGTCGTCGTCGACAGCTTGCCAGGTGAGGCTTGCTGGGAATAGGGTAGGGTTGATCTGGAATGCCCACATGACATTGCATTCCTGTGAGAGGAGAGATACTCGTTGCTTTCGGCCGGCGGTGCCCGGGCCAACGAGGTCGAGAACACGGATAGCCGTGGCTTCGTCGATGCCATCGCCTACCACGGGCGTCCACCACAGCTCGGGGTGAAGACGCAACTCTTCCACTCTTGTCCTGATCAAAGGGGAAAGAGAACAGAGAATGTTCACCCGCTCTGGTGACCAGTCGGGTGTGATACCATTTGACCCATCTCCTTTGTTGGGAGGGCAAATGCGGATGCTCTGGCAAACGGGATCTGGGGGCGGTTGGCTGGCGTCTTGCAGCATGGGGACTGCACCTGGCTAAGATCAGCAGACCACTCTGAAGCAGTGAGTGTGGACAAGAGAGTTACCTGAGCGGGTGTCGCCAGCATTCATGGGCCACCCGCTAGTGCTGGAGAATGTCGGTTCTCCTTTGTTCGGGCCTGGTGACCCAGACGCCTGCGATATCCTGTCTGTCTCTGCTGGGGACGGAGGCCAAAAGCTAGGTGAAGAAGCCATCGCGGGCGAGTTTGAAGGGATCAAAAAGGTTCCAGAGAGGGCCTGCGCCAGGTCGATCGCTGAATGAGGGTCATACCCGGCCTCAGCGTCAAGTGACCCCTGCATCAGGCGGGGCGGAGGAGCCGGCGCAAAAGGGACAGAAGCTTCGAAGGGAACGGAGGGATATTGCCATTCCAATGCTTTGTGCCTTTTGAGTCCCCAGACAGGCAGCTGTACAAGCTTTTCATTGCTGTGGCCGTTGTGTGCAACCACTGTCGCACATGGGTATCCAACGACCCAAACTCCAGGTTGGCAATCATGCCCCAGTTGGCATCCAGCCCCACGTCTGCGGCGGGCGTACGGCTCGGCACGGGGGTTGTAACTTGGTAAACACCGTGTCACAGATAAGAATGGCATTTGTCCTTCCTTCAACAGACGCCGACAGCGTCAAAGATAACGCCGGCGGCTGTCGTTGGACGCTACCCTGGTCGCGCCGCAGTATATTGAGCACTGTGCCGCTGCTAGACCGCGCCCGCGCCGCAGCTCGCATGTCCCCCGGCCTGCACGACATCTCCAGACGATTCCAGGAACCGCTTCTAGAATAGCGCCGAGAGCTGACCCCGAGAAGGATGACGGCACAGTCCAGCTTACAGAATGCCCTGTCGGATCTGCCCGCAATTATGTATCCAACGAAGAGGGCATCCAAAGTCCAAATGCTGCCCGCGGCCCGTCGCCATTTCCTCTCCTCAACACGCTGAAGGTCCCGGTGCTGAGAGATGGTGACAGTCACAGTCGCAGAGCTTTCGGCCATGGCGACAGCGGCTCCGGCCTCCGCCGTCGACTATGCCGACGTGCTTCGGCATCCCGAGAAGTACTACCAGGTAATCTAGATGCCCATTCCCAGCAGTTCGGCTCAGTTCTGACACCTTGTCCATAGGGATTCGACCTTGTCTGGATTATGATCTCATCAGCCTTGGTCTTTATCATGATACCATCCCTATCTCTCATATATTCCGGCCTTGGCAATCGTTCATTCGCGTTAACACTATTTCGACTTCCTTTGATCACGGCGGCTTTCGTTGGCCTTCAGTGGGCACTCTGGGGCTATCTTGTCACCTTCACCAACTCCATGCTGCCCTCGAACTGGTGGGGCGGAGAGAACCGAGCTGGTGGACTGCGAGATGTGGCAGGGCGGCCTGTTGTGGTGGGAGATGGACCCGACGAGTCTGCCGTTATTCCAGAGCTGGTGTTTGCGTTATATGAGGGTATGTTTGCTGCATTCACCGCCGCCGTGGTCTGTGGTGGAACCATGCACCGAACACGGCCGAGGCGCTTCATCATCTTTATCAGTCTTTGGTCGTTACTTGTCTATGACCCTGTTGCGAGATGGACATGGAGCAGCAAGGGGTGGCTGAGGGAACTTGGGAGTTTGGACTTTGCTGGTGGAACGCCGGTCCATATCGTCAGCGGAACGACGGTGGCCGCTTTTGCTGTCTTTTGCTCCATTGAATCGAGGGGCAACCTGCTCGACTTCCTCATCGACGCTGGCCACAAGGTTTGGCGACGAGTTCAACATCTCGCGTATGGTGTGTGGAGCATCCTGAGAATTGTCATCTTGTTGTTTACATGTGGACACCTCAGAGTCCCGGAAGGAGAGGACGCGCCAAACGAGGAGCTATCAGAACAGGGCGTGGAAAGCTTCCCGTACAATATCAACTTCGTTGTGCTTGGAACGGCATTTCTCTGGTTTGGTTGGGCTGGCTTCAATGGCGGTTCCGCTTTGGGTGGAAATTTGCGGGCGGTCTCGGCATGGACTGCCACCCATGTCTCGGCTTGTGCTGGCGGTGTCACCGGGATGCTCTGGATTTGGCTGATGAAGGGCGTGCCGGAAACCGATGTTGAGCTGGAAGGTGGCGATCCCCGGGACGAAGCTGCCAGAAATCGTGCTATGGCAAGACAGGCCTTCGACCGTATTTCGGTATTCTTCTTTTGCGATGGTGCCATTGCAGGACTGGTGGCGATCACGCCGGCAGCGGGTTATGTGAGTTCGCCTGACGCTTCAAGTGTGCCCTGTGTCTAACATCTTCAGGTTCCCGTCTGGAGTGCTCCAGTGTTTGGTGTTGTTGGTGCCCTTTGCGTCAACTTCCTGAAAAAAGAAGCCGAAATATTCCTTCGACATGACCCTTTGCAAATCTTTGCCGTGCACGCCGGCGGCGGTGTTGTCGGCATGGTTCTCACTGCTCTTTTTGTCGAGTAAGCATCTGCCTTCAAAGGTGCTCAAGTTGATACTGACCTCTCCTAGCTCAACAACAATTGGCCTTGATGGTCATTCGACCATCCCCCACCCCGAATACAGCACTGCGCAACGTGTGGGCTACCAGCTCGCCGATGTCTCGGCGGGCATGGGATATACCTTTTTCATGACACTTGGAATTTTGTACCTGATGAAGTTGGTCGCCTTCATGTTTGGGAAGTCTTCTTGGAGCCAAACAGGGGTGTATAGCGACTCGAACAGGTTGGAGGACAACTTCCAAGCCGTGGTTCAACAGCAATGGCGCGGTGATTTGGATCCTGAGGGGCGGCCGTTCGGAAGGCTCGTCGCCCCATCGCTGCCCCCGGCGCCCTCAAGGCCTTTGAGAGATGATGATATTCACTTGGAGCACCTCAAAAACCTGCCAAGTCCACCGAGGAGTGCGACTTCAGGTGCACAAGTGCCTCCATGGGGCATGATGCCGGAGTTGCCAGGGAGCCAGGGAATGCCGCCATGGCCGAGTTTACCGAGTCAGGGATTGCAGCCGCGCACGTAAATGAATCAAAATAAAAGTAGTCTAATTTGAGAATTGGGAGTTATGGGAGGTCCAATGCACGATTTCTTTGGGATGCTCTGTAGCATGTTTGATCGAAAAGTTAAAGACGTGAACTCAGAGCCAGGAACGCCAAGAGCCAAGCGATCAGCCAATCATCGAACGGGATCTTACCAGCGACTGAAAGGTCGGTCTTCCTCATGCTCTTGTGAAACAGCAATAGATAATCTTTTCTCTTTTTTTTTTATTTTTTTTTTTTTTTTTTTTTTTTTACATATATGGCGGGTTTGCAGATCTCCATCGTAACGACTCTCTTTCATGGGTAGCAATGGCAGGGATTGAGCTAAATATCTTGTCTTCCTGCCGCTCCTTCCACATGTCATCAAGCACACTCGCCATTTCCACCAGCACAATCCGCCTTTTGCCGCCGGTCGAGTCCACCAGAAATTTGATGCCTGATACCTCCGCCATCACCGCGCCTCTCGACTCGACAAGACGAAAGAACTCTTCGGCACTGGCACTCGATGCAGTCTCCTCACTCATCTCGCCTGACCAGACCAGTAGTTCGATCCACGGTTTTACTTTGACAGCTCGACCATTTGAGTTCCGAGCGGTTTTGGAGTTAACAGACTCTGACTGGGCACAGTATTGACATGGGAGTGGTTCTCCTGCTCTACCTCGATTCTCTTGTTCAGACTTCGTCGCTGCCTGGGCCATGGCTGTTCCAATCAACCTCAGCAATTCAGTCTTCGTCCGATGACCCATTGAGTCCTTCACATTGATATGCGCAACAGCCATGTTCCACAATTCATCGATCGCTGCCTCATGGGCTCTGTTTGTTAAAGTTGTCGCAAAAGACATGTCCAGGGGTGTTTCATTCGACGACCTCTTATTCACGTCCTGTAACAGAGCGTCAAACTCCCACAGCCACACAACGCCTTCTGGAATGATCTTCTTTTGGTCGGATTCGGAAACCACGCAAGTCTCCACCAAAGTCCGGCACTGCCTCTCAAGTCGCTTTAACCGGCCTTTCGACAGACGAATGTCTTGACGCAAAGAGTCCAGTGTCCCAGTCACCTCATCCTGCGTGTCCTCTCCCAGAGCCTCAACACGCGTTTGGGCCAAATATCGAAGCAGAGCGAGACCGAGAACGTCAGGTGGAGTGCAACGAAACAGCTTGTTGGCGCGGTGTTTTATCTGATCGGGGAATATGACAGACTCGATGGGCTTCATGCCCTCTGGCTCCCCATCAACCCCGAGCAATCGAGATACACTCAGGGCTTTGTCCCGAGCTCGAATCCACCGGATGCACTCGTCACGAAAGCACGTATCGCAGTAGATCCCTCCTTTTCTTGCCGGCCATACCCGATTTCCATCCTTTCGCTCATCTCTGACCCCCAATAAGACCGGGTTCCATAGTGTCGAGTCTACTTCAGCTTGCGGACGTTCAGCACCAAGGTTTGGGATCGACACCTCCTCCACTGCCTGGTATGTCTCCGCCTGCGCTTCTGCAGCGACTGTTGGCGGCGGATCATTTACCCGATCAAACCCGAAGGGGCTCTGATTCCCTATTCGAGTTCTCAGGTTTAAGGGGACGACAGAGGAACGTCGTGGCCCTGGAGGGAAAACTTCCTGCTGCTGTCTAGTTGCTACAGGGCTGTCTGGAGAAAACGGAATGTAGTCGCCTGCAGCTATCATCTTGATCATACTCTGCATAGGTGAGATTCCAGGGACCACGTTTCCTCGGTCCGCCTTATCCTTTGGCTTCGGTGGGGTTTCCCCCCTGTCTCTTGTCTCGTTTGGTGGCCATGGTGGACCAAACGGAAGGTAATCCTCGCTCATCTTCGGATCATGATCATCAATTCTTTCTTCCTCTGTGGGACTATCCTGACCAATCCGTGACGTCTTACGAGCTGATTTATACTTTTTCGATGGGTTGGGACGGCTTTTGATGGACCGAGTCGTCGTCTGTTCAACAGAGGCCCTGCCGCTGGAGGACGCAGAGCACTCCGTGACTTTGGGATCCCACCATGGTACATCGATTGGATCATCGGTGTCAGCATTTGATGAAAGCGACCGTGAGGAGCTTTGCGATGTGGTTGTTGGCGGTTGTATTCTGGGGAAAGCCCGAGCCCTTCGATTCGACCTTGTATACTGTGTGGTGTCAACTCTTGGCTTCTTGCCTGGTGGTTCGCTATCAGGGTACAGCTCCGAGAGCGGCGTGAATGGGAGGGGTCGTGCTGGTTGTTTTCCCGTCATGATGGGGGATCGTGGGGGAGTCCCGGGCTGTTGTGTACTGTGTGGCTCGCGGGCTTAGAGCATTCTGGGGATCTTGTCGTTGGGTCAAAGGTGTGATGGCCCGTGGAGTGTGTTCCTGGATGGAAGTGGTTCTATTTTGGACGAGGTTTACGTGGTTGAAGATATCCGTTGGATTATCCCTCCTGTTCAAAGCTCACCTTATGGTGCCTGGTTCGACTTTCTTTGTTGCCACCCATTCCACAGAGTCTCGGGCCCCCATAAAGTGGCAGACTTTGACGACACGCCTGTTTCCGGCATGTTATAAGTGCGAGCATTGTTCACTTCAAGACAAAGAACTTATCCATGGCTTACCTACACCACAACATGGCACCTACATTACTTGTGCAGTGGTCAACAAGGGCTATTGTCGGCCTTGCGCTGCCCCTTTTTCTTTTTTTTACAAGTTGGGAAAGGCAACCACCGGCCTAACCACAATCAAATCCAAGACGTTACCAGAGATTATCTTCTGTTGCAAATACTCCAACATACGACGGCCCGTCTTTCCGTCCACCTACTCCTCCAGATGCATCAACCCACGAACTGCCTTCCCTTTCGAGCATCCAGTCGACACAGCCCCTAAATCGTCACCCACACCTAAAGGCTGCCCTCCATCACCCCATAATGGCTCAACCCGCGGCGGCTCTCAAACACGGCAACAAGTCAATCCCAACGCCATGGATCAGGCACCCCGTTCCCTTCTCCGGCCTTGCCTCGCTTACACGCACGAGGTATATTTTGCCGGGTGAACACTATGATTTTGCATGCGCGGGCCGGATGTATCATGTTGTGTAGTTGGGGCAGCCCGTGGGAGCCAACTTGCCAAGGTCCGGTTTGGATACTACTCTATATTCTGTTATCTTCCGCTTCCCATGTGTTGTCAAATAACCCTGAAGTCAAACCACACTAAGCAGCGGTCCCTAACCGGAACCTACCTACCTAGTTGCACCCCCAAAGCCAAAACACACTTCAATGTGAGCCAGCCTAGTGGTGGTCGTAAATCAAGCCATGTAGCCGCACTCCCGGCGTGGCGCCCTGGTGTAACTCGACTGATTACCTCCGAGCAGTAAGCCACCAACCTGACTCCCACCCCTCCCCCCTCACAAACAATATTACATCTCCGGCCGGGATTACCAAACCTACAACTCCCTATTCCTCCCGAAGTGAGCTGCCCAACTACCGACTGCAACACCAATCAAACCTCCCCCAAAAACCTAATTGTTCCATCGTGCCCGATGCCAAAGTGGCGTTAATACCGAAAAATCATGCCAGACGCTACAGTAAGCTCACAATTTGCTGCATTGTTTTCAGGGCAAGCCTTTCTCTGCCTTAGTTATTGTACAATGTCCAAAGTCAAACCTAGCATAATGCCCGTTCATCACAAGGCAGGCAGGTCCAGAAAAGTGTTTCTGTTTCTTCCACAAAGAAGGGGGGTTTCCTGGCCAGAATCTGCTGTGCAACATGCCAAAAGGCGCCACTGTAACCACACCATTGTTGATCCGGGCCCCTGACTCCGGATCACCACACCATGTTCTCAACCTCACTTCTTTCTTCATACATTTCATTTCTTCGCAAAATTCTTGAAACATTTTTCTCCCGAGTAAAAACAGTGCCCTAGCTAATAATGATACTGGTAACAAAAGAAAACAAAGACTAAAAAATGGTAGTAGTAATCCAGCCTCCCCCCCCCCTACCAAAGATATTGACGGCTACATGACCCCAGCATTCACCCTTCGCCCTTCCTGACCAAAGCAGAAATTACATACACTCTATTGCCAATGTGTGCTCTGTTCCATTGCCCTCCTCTTTCTGCACCTCCCCCACTACACCTTCAACTCCCCCATAACCTCCTGATAATTCGACAAGATCAGCTTCCCCCTCTCCTCACTCCTCACCTTGAAGCTCAAATGATACGGCAACGGCTCCAAAATAACATGGCTGTTTGTCGCCTGCGTGTCAATTGGCACTGGTACTCCCGTGCGCGGGCAAATCTTGGGACCAGATTTGAACGCCCAGAGATACGAAGCTCCAAAGACAAACATCTCGTCATCGACAATATTCTGCCCGAGGCAAGTACGTCGACCCCAGCCAAAGCTGTGCATGGCCTGCCCCTCGCGGAAGTTGGGGTACCTGGTAAGAGGTTCTTGATACGTGGGCCACCCGGGCTCGAGCCAGCGCTCGGGGCGGAAGTTGTCGCCGTCAGGGTACTTTTCGGGGACGCGGTTGAGGCTCCTGTGCCAGATTGTTAGCAATTTCATGTGAAGATGGATCCGCAGAGAAAGATACATACCACTCGCAAGCGAGAATAATAGTCCCCTTCTTGATGGGAACCCCCCTAAAAACATCATCCCGCTCAGCCTGATGAGGAACACCAAGCGGAACCCCCGACCTCCACCTCACCGTCTCCTTCAAACACGCCCTCACAGTCGGCAAGTCAGGAAAGTCTTTCATAGTCGGCATCCTGTCCCCGCAGACCCTGTCAATCTCCTCCTGTGCCTTCCTCTGCCACTCCGGATGCAGCGCCATGGCCATTAAGAAAAACTTTAGCGGTCCACTAATCGTCACTACACCGACTAGGTTCACAAACCCAATCATGCAGCTCGCAAAGATCTCCTGCTCCTCTTCCTGATCCAGACTCTCGTTCCCTTCCCTCTTCAATTGCTCAAAATACCGGTAGGCCCACGTGTCGTTAGGGAGCGTGCCCTTGAGCATCCTGTCCTTGGCCAGGCGGAAGTTATTAAGCCACCAGGCCCGCTGTTCCTTCTCGCGCTTGATTTCAAAGTTGTACCATGGGTTCATGAACGAGGGCAGGTGCCAGAGCGGCGTGACGGTGTTGGTGATCGGACCGGAGACGCTCATGCAGTGGAGGGTGGTGTCGGCGCTATCACCGTTGGCCTTTCCCTGAGTAGCGTCATCCCAGGCGAGTCGGGACATGACACGGCCGCAGTACTCACGCGTGTAGTCGAGGAATCGGGCGGGATCGATGAGGAGAAGGCCGAGGTAGCGTTTCATTTCCTTTTCGCAGTGGCCGTAAAAGTGGTGCTTGTATGCTTCGGCCATAGCGGCGTGTGCCCACTTACGCTGCGTCTTCCATGTGTCTGAAGGCGACAGATTAGTTCGTGGCATTCGATGAGAGCAGTGAGAGAGAAGTCTTACCATGACGGTCCATCAAAGCAGAGTATCCAACTCCCTCCTTGTGGTTGATGAGAGATCGAATCTGAGGCCGACCGGAGTAGATGTGCCCTCTCTTAACCAACAGCTCCTCCGCAATCTTCTCGTCCGACACGATGATGAACGTCTGATCCACTGCCCTGGTCTGGAAAATAGGTCCATGTTCATCGGCCCACTCCTTGAACTTCAACCACATGGAAAACCGGGGGAGGTCATGAATACGGCCTACAAAAGGATACTGCTTGGGACCGGGGAACTTGGCCACCGTGGTGACCAACTTCTTCTTCTTCCATGACAGGATCTGCTGGATGGCCGAGTAGACCAGACTGGGGATGGCGAGATAGAGCAAGATGAGCGTGAGGCCCTCCATCTTGGCTTGACTGCCTCTTCAGGTATCCACGGGAAGGAAGGTGAGAAGGTGTCTGTGGAATGGTTCGATGATTTGCAGAAACAAGGTGCAAGATCAACCAGGGGTCAAGGTCAACGATGAATGTGTCCTTTCCCTTTTGCTCTTTCTGACTCTTCAACGACCTCAGGGCTGAGAAGGGCGGGGGGTTGACAGGATCAGGGCGCTTTCCGCCTTTCTGAAAGGCAAGAGCCAAGAGCAACGGAAGCCAGGGCAGGTGGGATGGGCGGATGGAAGTTATATCTGTCTCATACCAATGCTCTTTCCCTTCCGGGATCCGAAGACAGGGCGGTCCGTTGCTGTGTGAGACATTGCCCTATTAAGTCAAGTCTGTCACCCGGAAACGTCGTACATCTCGCTTCCCAGGACCACAGCCAATATGGCGCCAGAGCTGCCAACACTATCGCAGGAAGCTCGGTGGCCCAACCGCTTCCGGCTGCGTGTTTGGATCAGACAGTGGAGAGAGTCCGTAGAGTGGGCGATGGCGGCGGGCATCTTGAACAGGCTGTTGGTGCGTATCCTGGTCTGTGGGATTCCGCGGGCTTCAGAGGTGAGCATGTGGCCGTAGCTCTGCCGCGCCGTAATTAGGTCTTATTCGGGGAGTATATTATCTCAAAGTGCCTAGGAGACAGATGTGCGATTCAGCCTATTATCTGCCAGGAAATGTTGCACTGTCTAGCCCACTTACATCCGTTCCGAAGAGAGAGCTCGCGCCCCAAGAATAGTCAAGACCGGCTTGAAAATGTGCAGAATAATTGCCTTGTTCCCATCGTTCAGGTTCATGATGCACGAACTTCCCGCTCCCCACAAACCAAAATTCCCTCCTGTACCCGGATTCCCTTTCCTGGTACGCTCCCAACAACGGCCGGGGAGGCACCAATAAGAGGTCCAGGATCCAGCTATCAAGGACTGTGCCTCATCATATCCTGTTGGAGTAAAAGAGGGCGATGGAGGTGAGAAAGCCGTTGACTATCTGGACGATATTAGTAATGTCACTACCGTAACGCCGCAGCCGCCCTGTCAGCGCGAACCGTCGAACAATGCGGTGTGTTTGTGCGCAGGTGGCCGTCTCAATTAGTGCTACAATGCCAGTACGGCAGAATGCAGTGGGTTCCATTTCCGTTAAAATTCTGTCTCACCACAAGGCCGGAAACTGGCAGGGGGTGGTGCTGGGCACATGTGTGTGGAGATGGTGACAGGACATTATTTGGGGATGTCCGCCACAGCATCGCTTGACAAGCGAATGAAGAGCCACACCATTCTTCAATGGGCCAGGCAGAACATGTCAGACGGGAGCGCGTTGGCGACCAGATTCTTGGGACAACAATCCTCCGACTTTTGTTGCATCGAATCTGGTGCCTGTGTCTGAATAAACGACTGGATGGAGCCGTCACTGCCATTGATGGCTTTGCACGTAAACTCGGATAATTCTGCTCACTCCGGACCCGAGAGAAACAGCAATACCGGTGCTGCCCTCACCACACTGGCGAGTAAGCATATTGCTTTTTGACGTGAGTAGCCCGCCGGCGGTGGGAAAGAGTTGCCGGCGGCTTTTCGGTTGGTCTGATAGTGACAAAGGCTGAAGGCTGCATCATTGTGAGACCATCTCCACATCTGCTGTGATCGCTGTCGCACCACTGCTGCCATCTTAGACACCAGGATCGGAACATTGCAAACCAGATGCCGTGTGTAGGCCACACAGAACCACCATTGTCAGCATCGGACTAGAGTTTGTGTCTTCTCGCAAAAGGGTACGAAAGACTAGAATCATCAAGAGTTCTGTCGTGTGATGTTGCCTTGCTCAGCACGTGATTTGGACTGGGTATCTCGGTTCCATCGATCATCACGGCAGTACCTTAGCTCTCAGACCCTGAGCCTCGTCTGGCCTGGGTTGGGATCGGCATCGATGTGTCGTGGTTTCGCGCGGAACATACTAGACGGCGCTTCTTCGGATCGGAACGGGTTGTCTCCAACCCACTGGAAAAGAAATCAGGTCGGAGCTGATTCTGGTCAAGCAGATTGCTGCACGCAAGGGATGCCGGGATCCAAGACGCATGTTTCGCCGCGTCTGCTATGTTGATCGCCCTTCTTATGTGCTTGAAGAAGGAAGGGCGAGCTGTGATACGGCAGCTTTGAAGTCGGGACCGAGACTCGCATCAAAAACCGAGGATCTGTCTGTAAAGTATTAAGTGTCAGTTCCACGCCGTGAGAAAGTTGTTGACCTCTCACTTTCAGCTTCTGAATGTCCTGCAGAGCATCGTCAGCAGTCAATGATGCAGCTACGTGGCCGTCTGGAGGTTGAGACAATCTTGATATGCCCATCGCCTGGCCCATTCATTCGACCAACGAGTAGACATCGAAAATCAAGCCGTTCACCAGAGCCAGCAGACGTGGAATCTCTACAAGGCCAGGCAGGCCGGGCCGAGGGTTCCACGGGGTAGAGACATGATAAACGCCAATTGGAGCTGCATCTGGTTGGTCTGAAAAGTTGTTGCCCACCACCGCAAAAGTTGACTGATATGGAAGACGTTGGATTATGATTCCACCCCCCAGCGGGTGGGGCTTAGAACAAAACGGCGTCCTTGTGTAGCGATGGCGTTCCTTTGTGTTCCCGAACATGGAAGAGGCTCGCGCTACAGAGCATACCGCAGGAAGATACTCCGTAAGCTGGAAATGGCGTTGCAGGCTGGATTGGCCGTCCTTGGGCCCTGTGGTTTTGGCGGATCGCAGGCGAAGACGGAAGCCACCAATTGCAAGCAGGGCATTGCGTTGGTGTTCCCAGTCGGCATCGAGAAGATTGCATCCCGAGATCGGGAGCAGTTTCAGCGGGAAGAACAGCCTGGAACCCCTGCTTCCCCGAGAGACCCGCAGGCCACCACCAGCTGGCCCCAGCTGCCTATCTGGTGCCCTATCACCACTTCCAAAATGACCCCGCCAAACACAGATTTGGTGCAACAGCCCGCCTGATGTCATCTTGCGCGCGTACCTGGTGAAGGCACACGGACTGCTCGGCTTCGGGACCACGCGTTCAGTTTTGCAGCAGAGTGAACAGTGTCTCGCGCGGTTGCTCGAGACGGATTCTGTCAACATGACAACGTGAGTCTCAACTGTCGTGGTACTTGTTATTGACATCAGGCTGACAGCGGGGCAGCAACAGCATCCTGTCGCTCCCCTTCCGAAAGTCCGTACAACTCTCGCTCTCCTCCTCGCTTCGACAGTACATCTCCAAGAAGTATGACCAACACCCGGACATGTTCCGTCATGACCTCGAGGTCATTGACTCCCTCCGCCGCGATGCCGTCAATACGCGCGAACCCCACTCGACCGGTATCAGGAAACTCCAAACTTATGCCGCCCAACTGGTTTGGATGAGCGGGAAATTCCCAATTGATGTGGGTGCAACGATATCCCTCCCTTGACCACGAATTTTCTGACTATTTATTTTCTTGGCCAGATTGGCGTCGACTTTACATGGTACCCGGCCCTGGGCTACCACACCGAGCACCCCCTCGTACAGAACAATCTCCAATACGAGCTACTGAACATTCTCTACAACCTCGCTGCTCTGTATTCACAACTGGCGATATCGTCGAACCGAAGTGACACCAAGGGGCTGAAGACTGCTGCGAGCTTCTTCTCTCAGGCGGCCGGCGTGCTATCCCATATGAAGAAGGAAGTCCTCCCCGAATTGCGCATGGCCAACCCACCAGACGATATGGACGAGGCCACGTTGGAAGCATTGGCTCAGCTCTTCCTTGCCCAAAGTCAAGAGTGTTTCTGGCAGAAGGCCGTCATGGACCAATACAAGGATGCTTCCATCGCCAAGTTGGCTGCTCGCGTGTCTGACCTCTACAACTTGGCAGTGGAGGCAGCCATGCAGAGTGAAGCCATCAGCTCTGCCTGGATCCACCACATGAGCGCCAAGCATCACCACTTTGCCGCCGCTGCCCAGTACCGCGCTGCTTGTGATTGCTTGGAGAAGAAACGATACGGCGAGGAGGTAGCTCGGCTGAAAGACGCTGTCAATTGCGTCACTGAAGGTCTTAAGGAGTGCAAAGGCGGCTACATTAGCAAGGCTGTCGTTGACGATCTCCATGGCCTCAAGAAGCGCGTTGAAGAGGACTTGAAAAGGGCCGAAAAGGACAACGACATCATCTACCTGCAAATCGTGCCGCCAAAACCTGAGCTCAAGATCCTCGAGCGTGCTAACATGGCGGTAGCGAGTGTTCCATCGCAGGTCGCAAAGCCTTACGAATATTTCGGGGATCATGCCGAATTTGGACCTGCCCTGTTCACCAAACTTGTGCCGTTCTCGGTTCATGTCGCTGTGTCCATCTATGAGGAGCGAAGAGATCGCCTTGTCAACAACAACATCATCGCCGAGTTGGAAACCATGACAGACAGGCTCCACGAGATTCTTTCGAGTTTAAACTTGCCCGGGTCATTGCAGGCTCTTGAGAAGCCGCTTGGTTTACCCGGTACCCTTGTGCAGCACGCCGAAGAGATTCGACAAGCCGATGCGCTGAACAAACTGCAGCGTGGTTTCGCCGATGTCGAGAAGCTTTGCGCCAGTGACAAGGCTGTGTTTGAAGAAGGAAAGGCTCTTCTGGCCGCCGAGGAAGAAGAAGACCACGCCTTGAGGCTCAAATATGGCACACAAAGGTGGGCAAGGCCCGAGTCGAGGGCTGACCCCAGTCATGACGGTGGGGCCAAGCTGTGGAACCAAGCAGGCGACATCGACGGATACTTTGCTTCGAGTACGTCTAGTGATGCTGTGGTTCGAGAGAAGTTTGCAGCGGTCAAAGAAACCCTCGCCATCCTCGCCGGCCCAGACCGTGGTATGATGGACTACATCCCCAACAGTCGCAGAACCGAGATCCCAGAACTCCTCAAACCAGCCATAGGACGGCTGCGGGGAGTATACAACGACGTATTACGGCTGGAGTCAAGGAGGAGGAAGCGGATCGAGTCTCTTCGTGCCAGGAGCCGGGCCGATGACATTAAGGGCGACATCATGGCTGAGGCGGCGCGTCTTGAAAGGACATACCCCAACACTCCCATCGTGCCAGCTCACTTTGAGGACTTCTTTGACAAGCGCCTGGACAGTCTTTATGAGTCTGAACTTGAGGCTCTCGAGAAGGAACAGGCCGATCAGGAGAAGATTATGAGCGAGATCCAGCGGGCCAACCGTGACTTTGAGTCGCAGAAGAAAGTTATTGGCGAGAGCGGCAATCGGGAGCGGGAAAAGGCTCTGCAGAGATTGGATAATGCTTACTACAAGTACAAGGAGATTGTTAGTAATATCGAGGTTGGGCGGAAGTTCTACAATGACCTCAGTCGTATTGTTGAGCAATTCCGCAACCAGGCGCGCAGCTGGGTGAACGAAAGGAGACAGGAGGCGAGGATGTTGGAGGAGTATGTTGCCCTTTCTTCCTTCCTGGCCGTTCAAGAATTATTACTGACAAGCTCTTCCAGTGAACTCTCGATGCCACCGCTAGCATCGCTTAGTATGCGATCCAGCCAGCCCCAGTCGCCGCCGCAAGCGTACCAGTCCCCGGCTCCGTCGTCGTACTACATGCAGTCGCCGCAACGGCAGCCTGTTAGGGCTCCTGCTGTTCACAGTCCTCCTGTTGAGGCGCAGATTCAGAGCTGGGCGGATAATGTGCCACAGCAGCAGCCTAAGCCGATGCCACCGATTGCTTCGATGCAAGGGGCTTGGATGCCGAATATGGGCATCAAGTTCTCTGGGGCAGGTGCAGGTGGCTCAGGGGGTAGTCCGGGACAGGGTCAGCAGCAGGGTGGTGGGAGCTCTTCGGGGCCTGTGAGGGGGACATGGGATCCTAACAGTGGGATTAGGTTCGGTTGATCTGCGGAGGAGTGTGTGGTAGTGGGACATGTTGTACAAAAGAACCTTGGACGTGTTTTTCCTGGCTTGGATAGGTAGATCAAACTACGACCGCTGTTGTTAAGTGATAATCCCTTTAATCGGAGCTGGAATTGTGCCATACTGTCGGGCTAACGTAGCGCCATCACAATGAGATAGTCCCCGAATACCTTGTTCCCGATCGCTGACCAATGGTGTTGGTTACATGATCTGGTTCCACTCGTCCAAAAGTCAGCTACGTAATCATCGACGAGGATTGGTGAAGTGGACAGACTTGGCATGATGCATGGAAATGGAGCCTGGGATGATCGAGAACTACATAAACCGATTGTTCCTCCCGGGTTAGGCTTCATTACTTGCATTACATCACTCCACCGTGACAAGAAGAAGCCCAACGACACAACAGCAGCAACATATTCAACCATGGCCACCAACCAAGTCACCCGCTGGGTCACCAACCAAGATGGCATCGAAAACCTCACCAAAGAAACAATCCCTATGCCCACCCCCGCCAAGGGTGAAGTGCTGGTGAAAATCTCGGCTGTCTCGCTCAACTACCGCGACACCGAGGTCGTGAACGGGCTATACAACTACTACGACAAACCCGGCACTCCCAAGAAGCCCTTAGTTCCTGTGTCAGACATGTGCGGGACTGTCGTCTCTGTCGGCGACGACAACAGCCCCTGGAAGGTAGGGGATAGGGTTGTCTCGACGTTTTTGCAGTCCCATCTCACCGGTCAGGTTTACCCCGACCACTTGGCTACTGGGTTGGGGAAGCCGTTGGATGGGTGCTTGCAAGGTTACAGGGTTTTTGGGAGCGAGGGTCTGGTGAGGGCGCCGGGGTATTTGACGGATGAGGAGGCGAGTTGTCTGCCTATTGCGGGGGTGACGGCTTGGATGGCGATTCATGGGATGGGGGTTAGGAAGGGGGAGGGAGAGACGGTTTTGCTGCAGGGAACTGGGGGGGTTAGTGTGGCGGGTTTGCAGATTGCGAGGGCTGGGGGGATGAAAAGTGAGTTTGATGTCCAAAATGTTGAGGGAGGATAGGGTTTACTGATGAGATGTTAGCTATCATCACCTCGTCGTCTGATGAGAAACTTGAAAAGGCCAAGGCTCTTGGGGCGGATTACGTTATCAACTATCGGACGAGTCCGGACTGGGAAAGAGAGGTTATGAAGATCACGGGCGATAAAGGGGTGGATGTTATTCTTGAGACGGGGGGTGCTGGGACGCTGTACAAGTCTCTTGACTGCGTTGCGTTTGGGGGATTGATCTCGTGCATCGGGTATGTGTCTGGGCGGGAGGATAAGGCTGGTGAGGCAAGGGTTAATTTGAATCTTTTGGCGCTGCGGAGGACGGTCACGCTGAAGGGGATCATCAACGGTCCAAGGGATAGGTTTGAGGAGATGTGTCGGTTTTACGAGAAGCATCAGATCAGGCCGGTGGTGGACCGTGTGTTTGGGTTTGAGGAGGCGGCTGAGGCGATGAAGTATCTGGCCGGTGGGTCGCACTTTGGGAAGGTGGTTGTGAGGGTTGAGTAACTATAAAGCGTGGAACTGCATACGCTTATTATTGCCTCTTCGATGTTGTGGCTGATAAGCTCTGAATGGCGTCTTATGAGAGTTAAAATTTGGCTAAGGTAGGTAAACGGGGCTTGCGGTTTTGGTTCGCGCACAACGCAAGGTTTTCTTTTGTCGAATATTTCCCACACTATTTTCATTGACGGACACTCTCCCTCTCATTTCTTCCATCCCGGCCCACGACACCGTTTGATATTCCCTGCACCAGCGCGTTAATATCCCCATAAGCAACTTCTGGCTGCCTACTTCATCCTCAACAAGAGGAACAGGACGACCTTCCACAACCAGCTTGTCCTTCATAATGGCTCTTGCAAAACTCCCCACTGAGCTGCAGACCCGTATCTGCGAAATCTTGAACGAGGAGCATCGGGATAGTCTGGTATCTCTCTCGTTGACCAACCGACATTTTCGGGCGGTTGCCAATACGTGTCCGCTCAGCATTCTGACCTTGACCGTTACGACTGAAGGTTTTGAGAAACTGATCCAAGATTGCTCCCAGTTCCTAGGCCAGAATGACGGCTTCCGTCATGTCCATGTCCTTGTGCTCGTTGGTTCAACTATTGTTGACTGGAACTTGGCTGATAATCCGCTCCCAAGGATATATTTTGGGCGAGGTCCCTCGGATGGATTCGATGACGGCTTTCAGAGCCCTACTGCTCTCTGGCAATCGCGCCGACAAGGCATACCGCCTCATACCTGGCAGAGCTCTGATCGGTGGGACTAGAACTGGGCTCCTTTGGCCAACTCCATAAGCCAGTTACCAGGACTCACTGACCTCATATACAAGGCGGCCGAGGAGCTTCCACCATGTCTGCTGCGCGCCATCGAAAATAAGAGTACGATATCACGCCGTGTAACACGGCTTTACCATCACACTTTTCGGCTGCGGATGCTGGAAGCTGTCATGGATGCCTAATGTCGCGTAGATCAAGGCGTATGCGCTGGATATGATGGTCCATACCAATGACCCAACTCCCACAGCGCCCGTTATGGATCCTCACGAATACAATATCATCCGATCTCCCTGCCTCTATGGCGTTTTTTTGGTCAACGTCAAATACACCATCGACCTCATGACAAATGTGGTATCCCCCATCATGGATGATGGCAAGTACCAGGACACAAAACAAATACTGCAGACCGAAGGACTTGCCCCGAATCTGGGCGAGATTTTCGTGTATGCACACCGCTCTTTCATACCCGGCTCATCCAGAAGCGGAGTTCAGCTGGTAGGGAAACTCGGCAATGGAAATCGACGGCCCCCTCCTCTGCCCATAAAGCGGCTCACTGTTAGGTCTTCTCTCGACTCTGGACCAGTTGAAATCTGTCAACTACTGGATCTTAGCGCTCTGAAGACTCTCGAGCTCAATTGGCCCCCGAATGAACAGAGGATTGAATTGTCCGAAAAACTTCGTTTACCTTCCCTGACAACGCTCGTGGTGGACTTGTCTCTACTAGCTCGAGGCCGAAGTAACCATTCCCAAGTCAAGCTCTTCATCCGCGCTCATCCAAGCATCAAGCAATTACAGGTACGCGTATAGGATTGGTCAATCGCCTCATTTGTAGGGGAGAACCACCATGGAACGGTGTTTCCAAACATGGAGTCCTTATGCTTTCAAAACAGGCGATATAATGACATCTTCAAGGCCGTCGCCAGTTTGCTGATTTCGGCGCGTGAAATTGAAGGCTTGGGTGCCCTGTACCCCAACGTCAAGTGTCTGACCCTTCCTGTCCGTAGGTCAAGGGGCATCCCACAGGCGGCGCCATGAGCTTCTGGGCCTGGTATTCATTCTGGCATGCCACCTTTTCACCAACTCCTTGCCATTTTTATGCCTTTTGTGTTTACCCTGAAGATATGAAGCCAAGGCAGCCGCTCCTACCGTCAATGTGATGACGCCTCCGGTGACAGCCATATCTACAACCGCTGTACCTGCCACCGCACCCGTCGCCATACCTGCCGCAAAACCGGGCCCTCCACCCATCAGGATTGCCAGTATCATAGCATCCGGATTCCAGCTCTCCCAGCGATCCGAGATCTCCTTTTCGCTCAAATTGTCTACTATGCACCGCAGATGCCAGAGGGCAAATTCTTGGCAGTTCCATAAAAAGTTTTGGTATGTCTTTTCAAAAAGCTGCTTCCATATATCGTTTGCTAAGAATGGGTGAAAACGATGAGCACTAGCTACCAGTAAGGAGACGGGGTCAGGTATACTTACCACATTCTTCAATCTTGTCATCCGGCCATGTCGTCTTGCATTCACCCAAATTAATAGGCTCATATTCAAGCGCTTTCTTTTGCATTTCCTCGATCCATTCCGACTTGGGCTTGATGCGCAGGTTGTGCGATAGTCCGCTTGGATCGTCGGGTGTGGCGGCGACTTCGTAGCATGTGTCGCCCACGCAAACTGTCCAATGGTTGATGGTAGCTTTGCGCCATTTGTTGAGGAGGGGGATTTTGGCAAAGCTACTGATGGGTCGCCTGTAGAGGAAAACGTCTCGTTGTGTTTGTGACATGATGTGGGAAAGGTATCACTGGTTCGATGATGTGTCTAGGTGCTAAGAAGGTTGTAGTAATCACTCCTGGACTTGGTGTTTCTCCAGGTTGAACGATCAAAACCGGAGAAGCCAGAATCGTTATTTCTATCTTTCCAGTAGGGATAAGACTGGGAGAATACCTTTTTGCAGGATGCGAGTAAGGCGTCATGCCCAGCGCTCGAAACCGAACAGGCCAATCCTAGTCTCCAGACGGTAGCCTGATCTCGTGGCTATGATTCATAGGTAGCACAGCTGTGCCGCCTCTAGATGATCTTTAGTGTGTGTTTGCCCATTTTAAGTACTGCAGAGAATCTTCTTTGTCAATCAGAATGGACGGGTACTCCTTACGTTGTGGCGATGCCCTTCAGCTCCTGTCCTCATACATTTTAACAGGCTTTCTGTCTGGTAAAACAGTGTACGGGCGTACTTTACGCCGTGCAGATCTGCGCCACCAGCCCCAAAGGCAGCCTTCGTCTGTACGACCCCAACGTTATTCAATGTCAGAGAGGGGCGACAATACAAACCCGAAATTAATTTCTCGACGTTCTGCCAGTATTACCTGAACAGGATTCCTTTCTTCTTTACCCTGTTGACTTTTGCACTAGGTACTAGCCGTCTGCTCTCAAGATGGAGACATCCAACTATACCCGGGACTCGGGTCCACCCAAGAACTGCGATATAGTCCCCAGAAGTCTCTTTTTCAGAATCTTTGCCTTCAGCTATTCCGCTGCTTTACGCTACCACACCGTCCAGCCAATGCATTGTATCCAGCGCAACCAAAACTATCGCGAGGACAAGCATGGCGTCATCGCAGCACTGGCTCGCTTCCGTAAGACGAAATCAGAGGAGCTGAGATTTGTTCAAGGAGCAGTCAGTATACACACCCCACCCCTGAACCCTCAAAAATGATCCAGTCTAATATGGCACCTAGGCAACGCTGTCCGGAGCAGCAGTAATAGGCGTCTTCTCCTGGCCCTCGACAGAAAGAACAGTCTGGATAGCCAAGATGCTCTGGAACTGGAGTTTGTTTCTCTCTTTCTTTGCTCTGATCAGCTCGGCTCACCAACGGCTGCTCCGGCGCTTACCCGAGGACCCGAGTGATGAGCTCAGCGAGGCCGACCTGGCGAGGTGTCTCAGTCTGTTCTTGCAACCTCCTGTCCCGCCTGGGAAGGGAGACAGGATGTTCCAGCGGGGGATCAGCCGCCGTATGGTCTGGTTCTGGCAGTGTCCGACTATGCTTATGAGTTTTTCTTGGGTGTTATTTCTGGTTGGGTATACGCTTCACTTGTTGACGCCGGTGTTTGACGCCTCCCTGGCGGAGTTTAATACGGTTGTGAGTTTGTATTTTATGCTTGATCCCCATGGGAGCCATGTTCTAAGTTACGGACATATAGCCTGCCATCGTTACCGTGTGTGGCTGCACAGTTGTGGTTGCCAACTTCCTTTTTTGTGCCGAGCTGTGTCAGAGGCGCATTTCGAAGGCCAGCCATGGGATTATTGAGACCGGCCCGAATGTATTGCCTGTATAGCGTGTGATACAGCTAGAGATTTCATCACACTTGATGGAGAAGACAGTTTTGCACAAGATATGGCAAAGACAGTTAGACAAATATACTCTACAGGAGGTCTAAAGAAGTCACTAATACACCAAATCTATCCACCTTCCCTCACATAACCAACACACACTGACATGATATGATGGAAGCCTTTTTCCAACCCTACATGTGCTTCTCCCTGACATTGACCCTATCCCAATCAGGACTTCTTCAAATCGTCGACAACAATCCCGCCATTCTCTCTCACCACATAGTGACTCTGATTACCGGCCACAGTCGGCGGCATCTCGGCCGCCACTCGGAATCCCCGATAACACGACTGACACTGGGCATAGCCAACGAAGACCTGCACTGCCGGCAATCAAGAATTCTCACAGCCAGCTGGCGGTCCGCCTCTGGCACCCGCAAAGGTGTACCACAATCACCCTGCTTTACATATACCGCCCACACCACCGTTATTGCCTGAACGAAAGGACCACAATTGTTAGTATCTTTTCATGCCTGGAGGTCAGGCAAGGGAAAGAAAGAGAGTCACTCACACTTGGTATAATTCTCCCTCACCAACAAGCAAGCCGTGATCACACTCTGCGACATCCCCAGCGGGAACTCAAAGCTCTGCCTCTTGACAGTAGTAACACACCCACCCACCCACTCGACCCGAAAGTCGTAGTTCACCCTTTGCTATCCGTCTCGCGGAATGTGATGGGGGCATCCCCGGACCCAATGGTGCGTCGTCGTCACCCATTCCTCTGCGTAGACTGCTAAAATCAACCGAGAACCGATCCTGATCCCCAGATTGAAGGTCTGCGTGCCCTGGAAAGTCGCTCTCCTTGAAGCAGTTGTTCGGTCCTCTCGTCAACGGCTTGGTATTGGGGTCGGAGGTAGGGGTAGGAACCGTTGGTTTGCTCGAGGTCCTCCCCTTAACCCACGTGTGCACATTCCATCCAGGCCCGCCGGGGGTGGGTGCCGCGCCTGTGTAATTAGACCACGGCGGCGTGTAGGCTGCCGTTCGGGGGCAATTGGAAGATGTGTATGTTGTCGTTATTGTGGGCTTCATGCTGCCGGAGGCGGTGGAGGGCTCGGTGGAGGTCGAATAGAGTCTGCAGTGCACTGTCTTCTGGACGACGGCCTGTCTGTTCACTGCATTGAGTTCACTTGCATGTTGATGGCGGTGAAGTTCGGTCGAATGGAGTTCCGCCGGTGATGGAGTTTTCATCACGGTCAACCAAGCCGGCAAAGCATGGTCATTCACCGTTTACGATGGAGTCATCGACATGGATGTAGCGTGAGACGGGGAACCTGGAGGCCTGGCTCCTTGACTCCTTGATCCGTGCCTTCACTAACGTGAGAGGGGTGTTTCTACCGGAAGAGGTCCGTACCCTCGTAGACTTTTCGTTCTACTTCAGGGCAGCGATATCTCCATCTTTTGCAGGCCGACATCTCACCTACCCTGAGTCGTAACATCTGCGAACCTTTGGGCGTCACGATGGCCACTCTACCTATCCCTTTCCGGCGCTGAAAGAAGAAGGCTGCAGCGTTGCTGTTCCAGCTCAGTCCAATCGTCTGGGCTCTCGTCCATCCGCGTCTCCGCGACATCAATCAGCCAGCAATGTAAGCACTCTGCTACCAGTCCCATGCCGAGTCTTTTTCAGAGGACATAGTGTAGTAAGCACAGTTGCCAATTCCAAACGACACAGACACCAAGCCAACGGAGATGTCACCAACCACAGCAGGGTACTTACTTTGGCCCGTCAGGATGCGAACGTTTATGGAACAAGGGACCCCGATGGGCCTCGATTGCTTATATCTCTGCAGATAGGCAACTTACGGTGCAGCCTCATGCGTGCTCAACCGCCGCGAATTACGCTACCTAACCGTTAACGTCCATCCTTTAGGAAATACTACTTCCAGTCTTCGCAAGCGAGTTTTCTATTAGGACCGTTTCATTTAGTCACCGCAGGACATAGACAGAAACCCGACTTCAAACCTGGGCTATAGCCGAATCGGATTGGACCAACAGTTTGCTGACTACCGCGATTATCACCTACTTATCCTCGAGTAGGGCCCAGAACAAACGGTTGCCAAACAGAGAGTAATTCCGGATGTTAATAGCAAGGCCTTCTAAATAGGAACCAATATAGTATATAGCCGTACTATCGTGGCCATTGTGAGTGACAGAGCTGTGTAGATGGCCCATTTTTGGGAAACGGTGGGGATAAACAACACGCATCATAAATTGTTCAGGTAGGTGCACTAAGCTCGGGTGTTCGAAGACAAGTTGTTGCTAAGGACGCGCTGACTAACGAGTGATGGCAGAGCAAATGTACTTAACTAGATTACGGGGCGGGACTTTTCTGGGGTTAGAGACCTAGTAAACCCTAATTTATATACTAAGCCGACTGATCGCACGTCGAACGTGGCGGACGCCTTCCCTACCTACCTTACCTGGTTAAATATAAATACAAGTGTCGTAGTCCTCCCAGTTTTACCTTCACCTCAACGTCCCTCCCAAATCAACCGACCTAATCTCTTACATATATAGTATTCAATCTGAATAAGTTTCCCCTCGAAATTGTGCTGGACATTTGCGAGCTTTTTGGCGATACGTACGAGCCCAGCCTTCGATATTTCGTATTGGCCAGCAAGTCCTGCTACTCAATCGCCAATATTATATTACTTCGCACAATCACCTTCAACATCACCACTACAACGAAATTTCGAGTCGATATCCAGAAATATACCGGACTCCTTCAACGAAATAATAATTTCTAACATGTCCGTCGTCTTATGTTAGTTGGCTCGGATCAAACATTTAAGCTACATATCGATAACGAGGATAGCCAGGGGGACGTAGAGCTATTTAGCCTCGACAATTAGCAACTTGGCCCTGCCCTTTCTATTAACTAAGACATTTACTATTGGAGGCTCCATGGAATCCCCGACCACACCGACTTTGCTCGTAGTGCTTTTGCGTACAAAAGAACGGCCGGTACCGTGTACAACGAGGATGCCAAATGGGCGCCACTGGCCGAGTTGATCCGGCTACTGCCAGCGCTGGCCGATCTCATTTATCAGTGGCCGGTTCAGTTTCCACCCTGCTTGTTGCAGGCCCCCCACAGCAAGAAAAATGACCATATCACGCTGCTGCATTTACACACGTTCAGGCTGCAGATGCTGGGCCAACACGACCTTTCTGCCGCACAGAGTATCGCTAGTGACCCTCACGAGCTTGCCCTGATTAGATCGCCTTGCCTTCATACTATCTGGCTGGAAGACCATGATGGTAGACTGACGCCTGAACAGGAGAGCGACACCGGCTTGATAGGACGCCAGCTAGATGCACTTAACTAAATTCTTATAACAGAGGGCCTAGCACCCGATCTACGCGGGATCCGCTTGGATTATATCTATGTTGACAGCCCCTATCCTTCCGGCTGGCTTCCAGAAGAGGTAGGCCCAAGGGGCGGCAAGAAGCTGCCAATTGCCCTCTAACACTTGGAGTTGAGCTGCCGTATCGACCCTCACAAAATCATAGGCTTTTATATCCACGACTGGGTTGAGCTTGTGGACCTGGGCGGTCTTCAGACGCTTAAGCTGACGGCGCCCGTCGCTCTATGCGGTCTCGACAAGCTATTATCTCTGCACTTGCCCGCCCTGAAAACCTTGAGCTTTCGCTGTTGGAGAAGGCTAGACACCGTATATTTCGAAAATGTGAAGCGCTTCCTAGCGCGATTGCGGCGACTCCGGACACTTTTAATTAGAGGATAGGATGGTCGTAGCGTTAGTCGAAATTGTAACGACACTATCCGATCTCTCTGGCTCGACCATTGCGCAGATTTGCAGTTGCCGTATACGAGGGCGTCGCTCATATATCCTTCCAAGATTATGCGCCTAGGCGCATTCTACCCTCGAATCATCACTCTCTCTCTATCGATTCGCCGCTCTAAAGGAAACGGAGACGAGGTCTCGAGGTACAAGGCTATCGATGCCACCCTCCTACGGCTGAAGCGGCTCGCTCTAACACTAGACGCTTTGGTGATGTTGAGCCTACGCCTAGGTCCCAGATTAGTAGGTTAATAGGTATTATTCGAAGACTACACTATACAGCCCTAGGGATATAACAACAAGCACGCCTTAGAAGTCATAATCAATAGTGCTGTGGATGATAAGCTCGCAAGACAGACTTTTAACGCGATTGACTCTCCGAGGTTAGAGACGGTGATGGTCAGAGCTCAGGGGGGTAAGGACTTTAAGGTACCCCCAGGGGTGCGACTTTGGTTGCAATTTAAGACGTACTAACCTACGCTACGCTTATTTATCGATACGCTATCTAGGGAGCGGATCCTGGAAAGGTTTAATTAAGTCAGGGTCGAGGAGATTAAAAGGAAAAAGGAAGACTCATTTAGTAAATAGGGCGAGTGGATAGTAAGTGAAACAGACTTGTATCTACCTGACTTTAGGAGGTAGTGGCCGAACATAAAGAAAGGAAATAAGGGGTGGTATAAGGATTGGAATAGCTAGTGTAGGGCTGATAAGTGGGGACGGTAAAGGATAGTATTTTATAGACTTTGCTGAGTTTTGGAGGCGGGTTTTCTTCTTAATAACACACACGCTTTTCCTCCTTAATTTCTAATGATAATGTTTAGTAACTAAACCTATACCGACGGACTATACTAGCCATTAGAAAGTTAAGAGGCTTTATAAGAATAGTTAAAGGGCCTGGAAAGATACTTAATAACTAGACCTTTAAATAGTTATAAAGTATTAAAATATAGTTAATGGACCTTAAAAGATAGTGACTAGGCATTTAAAGACAGTTAAAAGCCTATTGCTTTACATTTAAAGTATGCTTTGTAATAAGATAGGAGTTAACTTGACGTATTAGGAAACTGAGATGTGGGGCGACACTGGGCCAGCGCTCGATTCCTGGGTGTTACAATTGCAGCGATTACAAAGCCGTCTTACACCTGCATCGCCGGTTGAGGATTCCATTATTTTTGGGGGACCCTGGGGGAGTGGGGACATCAGGTTCAACATGGTCATGATGTTTGATATGGACATTCGCATTTAGATAACCGGCCTGGACCTCGTGCTGCTGTGGTACCTTTTGCTGTGCCAATTTATTTTGTGGGGAGCGTAGCAGCGTTCCTTCTCTATCATCTACTGGGACTTAGCAGCCAGGTGTTCGCCTCGTATAAAGTGGCCAACCACCCCGCTATGCTTATACCCTAGCTTCATCCGTTATTATCACCGTCGTTTATGTTCATCCATGGCTACCCTACACAGACTCTCCACTGAAATCGTACTTCAAATTTGCGAGCTTTTACATGAGGATCACAGGCCCAGCTAAGTCTCGTTTGCACTGGCCAGCAAGCAATACCACGCCATCGCCACGGTGTTGCTATTTCAAAGGGTCACGTTCCACATCACAACACCAACACATCTCCAGAAGCACACAGCGAAATGCACCGCAGTTCTCGAACGGGACCACGCCTTCCGGCACGTCTGATACATTATTCTTGTGGGCTTCGACGATGAGGAGTTTGACATGCATGAGCGTTATCACCCACAATTCTTGAACGGAACCTATGAGGACGATATGATCGATTTTCACCAGTGGAACGCCGGGCCAGCACCTTCCTTGCGGGGGGCTATCAACAACACAAGACTCCCACCGAATTCCCGATTACTCCGAGTTTCAGTGGCGTGTGAGAGCCGACAACACACCCACCACGGCAGCCTACGATACAGACAAGGCATGGGAGCCTTTGGCCAACTTGTTTCGGCGGCTTCCTGGATTACGAGAGGTCATTTATGAGTGCCCGGCTCAGTTCCCACCCTGCCTCCTTCAGGCTCTTCATGATAAGATGCCGCAGATCACACCGCGACTTCACCTCCGCACCTTCAAGCTGCGTATGATGGACGACATCATTACCGCCAACATTGTCTCCGACTCCCACGAGCTGGCCCTACTCACCTCCCCTTGCCTTTACAGTGTTTGGTTGGTGTTGGACGCTCCGGATCTGTCCGCCTACTGGTGGACAGAGTATCTTCGCAAAATTTTGGATGTTTTCTGTCAAATGATGGAAGGCCGGTTGCTTGCCTCCAACCTGGGCGAGATTGGCGGCACGCGGAACTACTCTCAGTTTCCGGGTACACGTACCGACGACATCCTTCTCGCAATTGTGAGAAATGCAGCCATGAAAAAGACCCTTCGTCCGGAAACGCTCAACATGGATTGCGCATATATCGACAACATTATGACGATAGATCCAGCTCTTGATCTTAGTATGCTCCGGACTCTTCATCTCTTGCAAGTGCATTCTGTTTCATTCAAGGATGGGCTTTCAGCCGGAAGCTTTCCCCTACTGCGAGGCCTCTCATTGCAGTTCGTGTACCGAGATTCATGGAGGGGGTATGACAAGTTCAAAAAGTTCATAAGGGGGTTCAGAAACCTTGAAAGTCTCCGGGAGCTGGGATGGGATTGGTCTGTGGCCTCCTTTTCAGACTGGTCTGGAGAAATAGCCCCTTATCACAAAATTCGAAGCCTGTATTTTCAAGGCCCAGTGATGATGATGGCTAGATGGAAAGCTCGGTACAGTCCGAGTTGGAGATCAGATGTCTTGGGTATCTGTACCCTGGGGTGGAGACGTTGTCTCTGCCTATCCGCCGCTCAAACAAAGGGCGACAGACATGAGGCCCTTTTATACCAGATAATAGGCAAGAGTTTTCCAAAGCTTAAGCATTTGGCGCTCACCCTCGAGGCACTTGCGGAAATTTTCATAGGCCGCCATCGCGGATCCTGAATCCGCCCGCACTTGCTGCAACCTACCAGACGACGGTACAAGAGTTTTACTTGGGCCTGCTGCATAGTTCCGGCTTTATGGTAGCATCCTCCGAAAGTTACAACAACCTCCCATTCGTCGATCAGCCCTTCCTTGCCTCTGGCTTGCCCCCCATTCTCAACAGGGAGATTCTGGGCCTGTTTGTCAACTCGGCCCTCGACGCCAAATTAGCCCGCCAGATCTTTGATTTGATCTCGTCCCCCTGCCACGCTTCAAAGGTATTGCCGTGTAGACACAAGGCG